TGGCTCATGCCTATAATCCTAGCATTCTGAGAGGCCGAGGCGGGTAGATTGCATGACCTCATGTTTGAGACCAGACTGCATAAGAGACTCTAAAAAATAGCCGAGCATTGTGGTGGGCTTTAGTACTTGGGAGGTTGCAGCAAGAGAATCACTTGAGACCAAAAGTTTGAGGTTGCTGTGAGCTGTGATGCCAGGGCACTCTACCAAGGGCAACAAAGTAAGACTCTGTCTAAAAAATAAATAAATAAAATTTAAATTAAAAATATAACAAAGGAGGGTGGTGCCTGTGGCTCAAAGGTGTAGGGCACCGGCCCCATATACCAGAGGTGGTGGGTTCAAACCTAGCCCCCACCAAAAAAAAAATTATATATATAAATTTTTTATATATATATAAATGTTATATATATATACACAATGTTTTGCAGCTTATAACTAAGGGAGAAGAGAGGGAGATTGGTGTGCTCTTACCTAATGGGCACAATGTAAGGGTATATGAAACACCTCCTAGGTAAGGGGCACAACTACAACAGGGACCTTACCTAACAAATACAAACATGATAACCTAAACATTTGTACCCTCATATTAATCTGAAATTTAAATAAATAAATAAATAAATAAATAAAATGTTCTCATTAGGGGTGGCACCTGTGGCTCAGCAAGTAGAGCGCTGGCCCCATATACCGAGGGTAGCAGGTTCAAACCCAGCCCCAACCAAACTGCAAAAACAACAACAACAACAAAAAACAGCCTGGTGTTGTGGCGGGCGTCTGTAGTCCCAGCTACTTGGGAGGCTGAGGCAAAAGAATCACTTAAGCCCAGGAGTTGGAGGTTGCTGTGAGCTGTGACACCATAGCACCGAGGGCAACATAGTGAGACTCTGTCTCTACAAAAAAAAAAAAAATGTTTTCATTACAAAATTTACAGGGGTGGTGTCTGTGGCTCAAGGAGTAGGGCGCCAGCCCTATATGCTAGAGGTGGTGGGTTCAAACCCAGCCCCAGCCAAAAAAAACAAAACAACAACGAAAAAATGTACACACATATCTAAGGGTTATATAGACAGAATGTCACTCTGTTGCCCTGCTAGAGTGCCCTGGCATCATAGCCTACAGCAACCTCCACTCTTGGGCTCAAGCAATCCTCTTGCCTCAGTCTCCTGAGTAGCTGGGACTACAGGTGCCAGCCACATCGCCCGCCTAGTTTTTTTTCTTTTTCTTTTGAGACAGAGTCTCACTATATCACCCTAGATAGATAGAGTGCTGAGGTGTCACAGCCCACCGCAACCTTAGACTCTTGGGCGTAAGCGATTCTCTTGCCTCAGTCTCCCAAGTAGCTGGGACTACAGGTGCCTGCCACCATGCCTGGCTAATTTTTTCTTGTAGTTGTCACTGTTGTTTGGCAGGCCCAAGCCAGGTTTGAACCCACCAGCCCCAGTGTATGTGGCCAGTGCCCTAGCTGTTGAGCTACAGGCACCAAGCTGCTTTTTTCTATTTTTAGTAGAGCCAGAGTTTTATTCTTGTTCAGTCTGGTCTGGAACTCATGAGCTCAGGCAACCCACTCTCCTTGGACTCCCAGAGTGCTAGGATTATAGGCGTGAGCCACCATGCCTGGCCTAGAGCCGTAACAGTCTTGAGTTGGGGGGTGCCAGAGGAAAGGCAGCAGCACTGGATAGAAAGAAGTGGAAGACACAGGGGCAGGGGTGTAGGGCTGATGCTAACAAAGGGCTTTATCAGGTTCTGTGACCCAGCAGGAGAGAAGACATAGTGACTGAAATTTCTATTTATTTTGTATTTTATTTTATTTTTTTAGAGACAGAGTCTCACTTTGTTACCCTTGGTAGAGTGCTGTGGCATCACAGCTCATAGTAACCTCAGCCTCCCGAGTAGCTGGGACTACAGGAGCCCACCACAACACCCAGCTATTTTTTTTGTTGCAGTTTGGCCAGGGCTGGGTTCAAACCCGCCACCCTCGGTATATGGGGCTGGCACCCTATTCACTGAGCCACAGGCGCTGCCCTGACGTTTCAGTTTAGGTGACACCGATGTGCTTGTACCATGAGAGAATTAGGGAAGGAGTTGGAGGCGGGGGGTGAGGGGGAGCCCAGATATTACTTGATGAGCCTTCCTCTCCCCATGCCCATGGTATCTCTAAGGCTCCTTAGAACAAATTCAATAACCTTGAATCCAATCAGAATCCTGAGTCCTTCATTTTGCAAATGAAGAAATTTGAGGCATAGAGAAGGGAAATTATTTGCCTATGGTCATAGTTGGTGTCAAAGTCTAAACTTGAACCTGGCTCTCTGTCCTAGAGGGGCATGTGTCAGGCTGGACTGAGGTAAAAGCAGGCGGCGGTGCTGAGGTAGGAGATCCTCACGACTGACCTGGCTGTAGTATGCAGTTTAGCACCTCCACTTGATAGGTCAAGGGACAAAAGAAGGGCTCAGCGCTGGTAGCTTAGTGGTTAGAGCACTGGCCACATCCACTGGGACTGGTGGGTTCAAACCCAACCCGGGCCTGCTAAAAAAAAAAGAAATAGCCAGGTATTGTGGCAGGTGCCTATAGTCCAAGCTACTAGGGAAGCTGAGGAAAGAGAATCATTTAAGCCCAGGAGTTTGAGGTTGCTATGAGCTGTGAAGCCATGGCACTCTACTGAGGGTGACATAATGAGACTCTGTCTCAAAAAAAAAAAAAAAAAAAGGACAAAAGGGGAGGCTGGAGTGTTGGGAGAGAGGTGCTGGTTGGCTGAAGCTAAACTCGGAGATTATCTGAGGTTTCACTTGACTAGGGTTTCTATCCCTGGACTGTGGGCTTTCACAAACACACACACACACACAGCTGTAGCTTCCTACCAAGGAAGCTAGGCCCGAAGGTGGGCTGGGATAGGCATGAGTGCTCACCTGGCCCAGCAGTTGCCTAGCAGGGATGCCAGGTGTTCTTTAGAAATACCTAGGGCGCCAGCCACATACATTGGAGCTGGCAGGTTCGAATCCAGCCTGGGCCTGCCAAACAATAATGACAACTACAACCAAAAAAATAGCTGGCATGGGCAGCACCTGTGGCTCAGTGAGTAGGGTGCCAGCCCCATACACCGAGGGTAGCAGATTCAAACCTGGCCCCGGCCAAACTTCAACAGAAAATAGCTGGGCCCTGTGGCAGGTGCCTGTGGTCCCAGCTACTCAGGAGGCTGACGCAAGAGAATCACCTAAGCCCAAGAGTTGGAGGTTGCTGTGAGCCGTGATGCCACGGCACTCTGCCCAGGGCAACAGCTTGAGGCTCTGTTTCAAAAAAAAAATAATAATAATAATAATAATAAGTTTTGTTTTGTTTTACCCTAATATACCCTTAAAGTTCCTTTAAGCTAGGTCAGGCATGGTTGCTCACTCACTCCTGTAATCCTAGCCAAGTGAATTCCCTAAACTGAGAAGTTCAAGGCCAACCTGAGCCAAGAGCAAGACTCCGTCCCTATTATAAATAAAAAAATTGAGGCAAAGAAGATCTTGTGAGCCCAGAAGTTTGAGGTTGCTGTGAGCTATAATGCCACAGCACTCTACTCAGCTACTCAGGGTAGCAGTGTGAGACTCTATCTCAAAAAAAAAAGTTCCTTTATAGCTGGGCCTTGTGGCCTGCGCCCGTAGTTCTAGCCACTCGGGAGGCTAAAGCAAGAGAATCTTCTAAGCCCAAGACCTGAGGTTGCTGTGAGCTGTGACACCACAGCACTCTGAGGGCAACAAAGTGAGTCTCAAAAAAAAAAAAAGGTCCTTTAAGCTCCAATTCCAGCAAATGTTCTTTGGATCCCTGCTCCTCTCCAAGTCCTCTCCCAATGAACCACATTTGCACAGGAGTTCTGGGGCCACACCTCTTCACATTGTTTACAACAACCAGCACCCTGACCTTCACTTAGGTCAGTGGTTCTCAATCTTCCCAATCCTGTGAGACTTAAATACAATTCCTATGGGTCGCGACCCACAGGTTGAGAACCATGACTTAGGTGCTGAGGTGCCAAGACTGGCCAGTGGTTGAGGTTCAGGCTGTGCACTGGAGAGAGAGGTCCCCCCCAACCTGATACCCTAAGTCCTATGAACTGTCAGAAGGATGGGAACAGAAAAGGTTAGGAGGCTCAGGATTGCCCAAGTCCCAGGGCTGAGTAGTGCTCCAGAAAGGAAGGAGAGAGGGGAGGGGCCCCACCTGCCTGGTGAGGTCATGGGAAAGCAGGTCTGGCGCTGACACCTGGGGAAACCCGTTTCTAGGCTGCTTCCCACGCTAGCTCTCCTGGGAACCAGCTAAGCCCCAAGCGGGGAGCCCCACACCTGCCCTCCCATCCAGTTCCCATCATACTGCCCCCCCAGTCCAGCCCCACCCTTCAACCTAGCCTCAATCCTTTGGTACCCACTCCGTCTGTCCAGGCATTTGGCCCCTGACCAGGGTTGTGAGGGAGGAGCAACTGCTCCAGGAAATGACAGAGACAGCAGCTTCACAAACTTAAGGTTTTATTTGCAGAGTCTGCACCGCACTACCTTCTCAGCTGTGTGACCTTGAGGAAAGAGATGACCCCTAATCCCTCCCTCCTTTAGGCTCTAATTTGCAGCTCCTCCCCCTCCCTTTGCTGGTCTTGACTCTCACTTCCTGTCCTACTCCTGGCCCAGCCAGTTTGGGCAGTGCCTAGGGAGCCTCAAGACCCAATTCTTCCCAGGGACCAGCCCCGCCCTCTCTGGCCTTGGGGGTGGAAGGCAGCCCAGGTGTCAGCCTGTTCCTCAGCTGGCCCACTTCCCTGCTCTTCCCCTCCTGTCTTCCTCCTTCCAGGTCCAGGCCTCTGAGTGACCGCACGGCGGCTGAAAGGCCTCACTTTCTGTTCCCTCTCCTGAACACCCACTGGCCTCAGTCTTACCCACTCCATCCAATCATTTCTAAATCAGGGCTGAAAACCTTCTACCTTCAAGATGCCCCACTGTTCCCCAGGCTCTTCCCCACCTCTGCGCCAAGGAGGAGGTGGTGACCACCAACACGAGGAGTCCTAATTCAGCAAGGCTGACCCAAGGGCCCATGATAAGAAACTGGGAATTGGATCTCAAACTCCTCAGAGGTGGATGACCTTGTTAGGTCCATCCTATGAAAATCAAAGTGCTGGGTTTTCTCTGTGGGCCTTGACTGGAGAAATCCAAATCAGAGCCTTCCCTCTTCCAGGCCCTAGGCTCACCCTAGCACATAAGAGTGGGCAGTTAGAGGCCCATGTCCCCACAGTGTTCAGAAGGGAACTGAATCCTATGGGATGGCCAGGCCCTGCCAGTAGCCCCCTCAAAGGCCCCATGCCCCAGGTTCCAGAAGTCTCTGGCCTCCCGCCTACTGCTGGCTATGTTACCATAGCTGCTCAAACAAAGCAGAAGAACTTCTTCCAGCGGCAGCGGGAGAGGGTGCGCACACCTTTGGCATTCAATTTCTTCTCCAGGCGGGCTTTGTGCTCAATGGCGCTGAGAATGGCAGAGTCAAACACCTCCTTTAAGTTCTTCTGTGTCAAGGCTGAGCACTCAAGGTAGCAGCAGGCCCGGATCTTCTCAGCCAGACCCTGAGCCTGGGGTTGGGGCACAGGGCCCTCCCGACCCCCCTGGTCCAGCTGAATCAGTACGTTCACATCGTCCCTCAGGTCTGCCTGGGTGCCCACCAGCAGCACAGGTGCCTGGGGGTTGTGAGTACGGATCTCTGGCAGCCATTTCTCTGTGATGTTTTGGAAGGAGCTGGGCTGCACCACACTGAAGCATGCCAAGAAGACATCGGTATCAGGGTAGCAGAGAGAGCGGAGTCGGTCAAAGTCCTCCTGGGGTGGGAAGGCCAGGTGTTAGTAGGATTATTCCCGGCCACATGGAACAGGAATTCACTTCTCACCAAGGGCTAGAGGCCTGAGACTCCAAGAGCCCAAGGCCTTCTCCATTTCTGCTCCATGTGGGGTCCTCCCAGACTTCAATCTACCTCCCCCCAAACCAGTAGAGGCTGCTCCCAGGTTCTCACCTGCCCAGCTGTGTCCCAGAGCTCAATGCGCACAGGGGCTCCATCCACCAGGACTTGCACTGCAGGGGTGGGTCAGGGAGAAACCGAGTTAGGAAGAACGTCCTGGATCCCACTAGGCCTCGCCAGCGCCACCTCGAGGGCTGGTCCCGCCTCCTACCCGGGGTCTTCCGCGCCCTCCCGCCGCGACGCGCGCCTCATATCACCAGAGCACAACCCTATGCTTAGCCACGCGGCCTCCGAGGCGGTTAAACGTACCGGAGAAGGTGTCCAGCGCTGTGGGCCGGTAGCGCGCGGGGTACCCATTGCAGGTGTAGCTGACGATGAGGCTGCTCTTGCCCACTGCGCCGTCGCCCACCAGCACGCATTTGATGCCCAGCTCCGGGGACGCGCTACGCCGCCGCGGAGGAGGGGTCGGGGCCCGGAGCGGGGGCGGCTCGGCCTCACTCAGCTCCCGCGGTGGCATGGCCCGCTCCAGGGGCAGCAGAGGGGCCAGCCCGGGACCAGACTTCGCTGCGCTAGAGGAAGCAGATTATGCTGACCGCCACTGAGTGCCGGTCCTGGCTGGGCGCGCCGTCCCAGCGCTACCCGCGGGTATATACGTAGGGCCCCGCCCACCTCATCTGCATGTCCGGAGCGGCCCGGGACCCAGCCCACCGGCCCGGCCCTCCCTAAGCAAGCACCCGGCGAGGCCAGGCAATCTCAAAACACTGGGAGGAGGATGAGCAGGCAAAGCTAACACTCAAAAGAACCGCACAAGTACAAGGACAAAGAATCACCAAATAAGAATTCAGACAGACATCCAGGATTTATTGTTAGGAGGATAAGAAGAGACAGACATCCAGGATTTATTGTTAGGAGGAAGAAGCAAGTTGCAGAACATATCACATGCTCAAGTTAAACAAATGTTCCAATGAAACCTTTTTCAATTTAAACAAAAAAATTACATATGTATGTATGAATATTTAAAACGCTGAAAAAAAATTTTTTTGAGACGGAGCCTCAAGCTGTCCCCCTGGGTAGAGTGCTGTAACGTCACAGCTCACAGCAACCTCCAACTCCTGGGCTCAAGCAAGTCTCCTGCCTTCACCTCCCAAGTAGCTGGGATTACAGGCGCCCCCCACAACGCCTGGCTATTTTTTTGGTTGCAGCCGTCATTGTTGTTTGGCGGGCCCAGGCTGGATTCAAACCTGCCAGCTCAGGTGTATGTGGCTGGCGCCTTAGCCATTTGAGCCACAGGCGCCGAGCCAACGCTGAAATAATTTTATTAATATTGTTGACCCTTGAACAATGCAGACGTTAGGGGCACTGACACTCCTGCAGTCAAAAATCCACATATATATATTTTTTAAAAATCTACATATAGGCTCAGCGCCTGTGGCTCAAGCGGCTAAGGTGCCAGCCACATACACCAGAGCCGGCTGGTTCGAATCCAGCGCAGGCCCACCAAATAACAATGACTGCTGCAACCAAAAAATAGCAGGGCGTTGTGGCAGGTGCCCTGTGGTCCCAGCTACTTGGGAGGTGGAGGCAGGAGAATTGCTTGAGCCCAGGAGTTGGAGGTTGCTGTGAACTATGATACCACAGTACTCTAG